CCTAGACACGGGTATTATTTTTTAAAGTATATTTTTAAAATCTGTAGGAATTTTTCATGGGAGGAAAAAAATCAAATTTTGTCTTACTATAGGTAATTGTAATGTTTAAAACTTTATATTTTATACTAAGTGCACATCTTTAAATAATGTTTCAAATTTTAGTTTGATAGAAATTATGATATGCCACGTTATAAATGTAACATTGTATTATTGTTAATGCAACTAGCAAAATAGTATATTAAAGAACTAATGTCATAAGACGTCATTTTGTCTCACGCGGACAATTTATAAAACGAGCGACGAAGGAGCGAGTTTTATAATGGACGAGTACGACAAAAGGTCTTATGACATGAATTCTTTATGCTATTTTATCTATTTTGCAAAAATTCTATAAAAAAATAATTTTATACCTTAAATTTAATTTGGTCGAATTTTACTTTAGATAGTTGGTATAACTCATTGATTTGACAGTTAATGTCAAAATAGATTCGCCATGCCGTCCTTAATTGACTTATTTACAATAGGCGGCTGTTAATGTTAAAGAAGAAAAAAAGGATTTATTGCCAGAAAAGTCTCGTAAGTACTAGAAAAATCATAAAAATATTATAACCAATTTGCTAAATATTATGCTGTTTAAAGTATAGCCAAACTAAAAAATCAAAATTTTGGGTGGGATAAAGTATCTCATTACAGCACCGAAAGCGGTGTTATAATGAAGTCATTATAAACGCAAAATAGATAAAAATATTTTATTTGTTAAGCGGCAATATTTTGTAAGGTTTCTTTTCCAGTAGGATGAGATTTTATTGTTTAGGCAATTATTGGTATGACATTTGGATATAAAATATTTATTAAAAAATATTATTAGGTACAAATAAGTTTTTTATTTTATCCCTACCCGTTCAAAAAAAAAGACACGTAAGAGTTACCTAAAATATTAGTAACATTGCTACTGTTCCAAATTAAGAAATAAGCAATATAACAACAACATTGTGATACTATTGTATTATAACAACCTTTGTAAAAGAGTTGGAACCTTTTAGGACCGTTCCTTTTTGTTTAAATTGGAACGGTCGTAAAAACCATGCTAAATGGAAAATTTTAAATAAAACGTAAAAGGGCCGATCATAATGTAAAACACTAACATGGAATAAGTTTTGTTTTGCGAAGCCTTTTTCTTGTTTTGTTGTTTGCAAAAATAAATTAAATATAAATATGAAAAAAAATGATACTACAATAGTACGTCCTGGGACATCATAAGATACAGACGCGTAAGCGACCTCTTCTAAAGAGTAAGGAAGTAATTAAAGCCTATCAGTAATAATAAATCGGGCACAGGGCCACTACCTGTGTAGATAAATCAACCTGTCTCCTGATGTCTTACAGAATCAGCAAAGCGCAAAGTGGACAGTAGCAAGTTGCAACAAAAGATAAGTTCAATAGCTTTAATCAACATAATTTAATTTGCATTCTACTAAGAAAGTAATCTTGCAGCAAACTTAAATTGTCCCCAAAAAACCAAAATGTTTTCCCTTTTTGTCCCGCACTCCACTAGCCTAAATCGGGCGTATGGCCCGGCTCGGCAACAAAATTCCGGGGGGGGTCATCCACGACCTCCTAAGAGAGATTTTCCAGCCGGGGTAAAAATTCGGATCCACCAAACACAGGTAATGCTGTGCACTAGCGGGATACGTATGAGAACTGAAAGTTGGTTATAAACAACTCTGGGAGATCAGTGTAAGGCGATGCCGATGGGTACAGCCATTATGCAATATTAAATAGAAATTTTCTAATATGAAGTAGGTATGTATCTTTGCAACCAAACTAGATAAATCTATGTTTTATTGAACAAAGCACACCTACTAGGATTGTATGGATTTTTACTTAATATTAAAGCAATGTTCCTATCATCTGTTCTGTCATTTTTATTTATACGTTTTAGTGGTGATATAAGTTTAAGCTGCTGCTTATTTAAACGATTTTTTTTTCAAATACAAGGTTATTTGGTTATTTGTATATGTATTGACTAATAGTAGGATTGTTAATATGTATTCTTTGGATATAGGTTTTTGTTACTGTTTTTATTTAAACAAAAATATTTCATTGTTAACTATTTGCCGAACGCGTCCTAATATGGGGTATCTCATATTATCGCCAAATGACGTCAATATGACGTGCGATGCTACTTGGGTTGTTTAGGTTATAAAATATTTTAATTTGTTTGGTTGTTGAAAAAAAAACAGAATTTATAGAGAATTCCGAATTAATAGGTAGGTACCTGCCTAATATTTTGCGCTCACTGTTTATCTACCAAAGTAAGCGCCAGTGGGAAGCTGTTAAATTTGCATTTAATAATACCGCCTTTGCAAAAAAAGACCCGAAGTTAACACTAAGCTACAACAAATATTTGGTGAAGCTACTTCCATTATCATCAACAGATGACGTTGAGATTTTGCAAGAAGAGGGAGAAATTAATATATTTTATAATATAACCACTTTTTTAGATCAATAAATTGAAAAAAGTTGGTGGCAAATATGCCCAAAAAAAGTAAACAATATAATCAAAGACTGCTTCACGGTAGATACTCAGAAAAAATGCAACTGATCGGGGGCCAACAACAAATTTCACAACAAATTTCGCATTAAAGGTACACCGTTAGCTAATGGAATTATAAATGTTCTCTTCGAAATTAAGAACATTACTAAGGACAAAATCGAAAATCGTCTCCAATACGTGGTCCAGCACACCTATGACAGAGAGAAATAAGATTAGTTTGGATATTTGTGCATGTTATTAAATAAGTAAGTTTTGTTTTACTTTTCATTTATATATTAGGCGAAAAGTAAGAAAACGCAATAAATGGAGAAGATGTACATTATGAAGTGACCCCACAAAGCCAAAGAGTTTCTTGTTTTTTTAGAAGAATTTTGTTTTTTATGTTTTAATATATTCTTGTAAAAGTAAAGTTTGTTTTACCTATTTATTTTATTTTTTTCCTTAAACGCTACTGCAATAATAGCTAATTTACCCCTATGTGCAATGCAAGAATTATTTTGGTGCAATTCATTACCTACCACAGGGCTCCCACACCTCCTCCCAGATAGCACCGAGACATCTTAAAGATGTCGGACTCGGACGTTTATGACATCTTTAAGACGTCCAGTTTACGTCGTAAGTAATCTTTAAGACGTCTTTAAGATATCTAAAGTTGCAAAACACATCGTCTTTAAGCTGTCGTTTTAACGGCATTATTAAGTCGTTGCTAAACGTCGCGACGTTAACACGTCTTTAAGATGTTAAAGACTACCTATTTAAAACGTCTTGGTTATGCATTGCTTCATCGCCAAAACGTTTTAAAGGTATTAAGTAATTAAAATGTAGCTAATAATGCTTTTAAACTTCTAAAAATAACGTATACTTCTATTTAAAATAAAAAAAAATTAAATTGTTACATATTTATTTCTGCCTATTAATTCAAATCAATAAAGTTAAAACTTCTTGGCACGTAGAACCCTTGTCTGAAGCCCTTCTTGAGTGTGAGGTGGGTATCAGGGTCAGAGACCAGGGTATCCCTCGGGCTATCAATTATTTTCTTGGAAAACACCACAAAAACGACACCAAATTCACAAAAAAAAATCGAAAATCAACACTGCACACTACTTTGACTTGTTACTTGAGTTGATAATAATAATAATAATAATTAGGGATGGGATTTTAGTTATTTTACCTTTTTTTAACCGATGTAACTATTTAAAAACCAGTAATGCCAAAATGTGTTTTAAAAGATTTTCTTTTATATGAACCTAACTTGTTTTCACCTTTTTTACCTTTTTTGGAGGTTTTTGCTTTTAACTACCTTTTTTATACTTTTGTTACCTATTTTTTAAACTTTTTTTCACCTTTTTTACCTTTTTTGGAGGTTTTTGCTTTAAACTACCTTTTTATACTTTTGTTACATATTTTTTAATTTGTCAGTTTATTTTCACATATGTTACCTATTTTTACTTATTTTTACTTATTTTATTTTTTTTGTTCTTTTTAAAATTTGCGCCAATATTTTATCCAGGGCGTGCAACTCAACGGTATAGAATTTTTTCTTATGGTTACAGACTGTAACAGTAACTTTCTTTACAGTTACCTTTTTTGTAGTGACTCACTACTAGTGAGCTTATATTCTGTCATAGAACTTCTGTGTAGTGAGTGTCACTCAGTAAAACAAAGTTTATTGCATAGAAATAGTTTATTGTGGGTATGTTCTGCAGAACTCATGTGTTTGGGTATGCGGCTAAACAAAATTATAAACGAAACTTAAACTTTTAATGATTTTTTTTTACCTAAAATGCTATTTTTTAACCTAAAATGCTTTTTTTTAGTACCTTTTTAGTTACCTATTTTTCAGTTTTTAGTACCTAAATATCCCATCCCTAATAATAATAATAATAAAAATCTTTATAATAAATGTTACAAGGTGTCCTAAAATGACATACATTTTATTTAGGGCTCGTTTTTTTTGAGATTATTCAAAATATCAAGCGGTCAAAATTATGAGACGTTCCTTTCAATGAACTTAAGTGATAAACTGGAATAAAATCTTCCCATGTCTATTATAAACTTTATAAAAAACAAATTTAGAAAAAATGCAAGTATGTCATTTTACAACCGGTTTGTGTGTAAAATGACACATTTATAGGGTATAAAATGACATATGTTCAAAACAAGTAATTTATTTATATCGTCGGGTTACTGCAAAAACCAGATAACTCCAAAAATGTAGTTTTGAGTAATTTGATGTTTTAAGTTTGGAAGACGCTTAAAAATCCACTCTGAAAGTAAAAGCCGTGTTGGTCTAAAACATTTATTGAACAGCAAAGCTAGAATGTAATAAAACGTGAAAAATACATTTGGTTTGTAAAATAATTGTTTTTTTTACAAAAAAAAAGGAAAGTTGTCGCACAAACTCAAAACATAGTATTACAGTATTATAATAAAAAACTCCGATCTAGTCTTCCTTTCCGCTTTCCATGTCACTGTCTTCAATTGAAGGTTCTGGAATGGTGTCTTCTATCTCTTTAAGAACAGGTAAAGTCTTGTAATATTGGTGGAACTCTTCAGGAACTGGGGGATCTTCACCCTTGCACAATTTTAATAGATCTTGTTTTTTTTTTAAACTAATTGGGCGAACCTTGGTGTAGGCTTTAATTATCTTCATGTCAGTTATTTTAGATGGACGACCTTTTCCTTTTGCCAACACAAAAATCTCCTTGTATTCAGATGTGTGATCGTATCTATATAGAAGCATTCCTGGTTTGGATTTTAAGTATTTAAAGCACTTTACTTTCAGCCAATTAACTTTCTCGCCAAGGGTATTTTTTAGTTTGTTCTTGATCAACAATTTTGACAGCTGTTCTAAATCAAGGAAATCAGAAAATTTCAGCTCCACTACATTATACGGTTTCTTCTTAGACCTAGTCGTTCGAGCCATTCGAAAAATTGTTAACCAATCGTGCATACCCAGATAGCACAAAGGTATACTATGGACGTCCAATGGACGTATGCTCGTGGACCTCTGTATGTACATAGGATGTCCATTTTTTTCTATGGACGTCCCATGGACATCCGTTTAGAGTCCAGATGTCACAACTTTGGACATCCATAAGTCGTCCACCGATGGACGTCTATAAGGTGTTTAAACCATTCCTCCAGCATCCAGGACCTGCTTTTCTGCTTACTTTAACTGTTTTTTGCGACTGTATTTTCATTGCGATGTTGCAGAAAATTTTCTACAACATGACTGAAATGCCTTTTGTCTGGCTCAGTAACAATCCCACTAGGAATATAAATATTCTAAAAGTTGTTAAAAGTTACAACATTCAATGTTAAACATTTCAGGAAATCCTTGTATTCGAATATTACATTTGCAATACTACAAGTGTTTAACATTTCATTGATAGCTTAAGTCCTTTATAGCCCGCGCTTGCTTGAATGTCAGTGAGATTGATCATAACTGTTGTTATGCAGCCAACAATACGTTTTAACTACATTTCCGTAATAATAATTATGGACGTAAAATGGACACTATATGGACGTCCATTTAAAATCGTACAAAGGATGTAAATATATGGACGTACATAGTACATCCATTTTTAGTCCGTGGACCAATGTACTTAAAATGGATCTTAAACGGACGTCCATTGGACGAATGGTGCTATCTGGGTAGTGTACACGGGAACATACTTTTGTGCTTTTTCTATAGCACTATGCATACTATCTACTTCCATGTAACTATGTCCACTTTCGAGGAACTTTTGCTCTATAACCATAATATTCGGGTTTTTCTGAACAAGGTACAGTAGCATCGCACTAACATTTTGATTTCGATTTTGGCCACTACAAGTATCAGAAAATAGAGCCACTTCTGAAACTCTGCTAGGAAGCTGATTTAAGTACTTGTACAAACAGGTTCCAATTTCTATACTACCTCTTTTGCCATTTAGTTCTGTCCATGAATAACAGAAAGCATTGTTTGGTGGCGCTAATTCATATACAGTCAAATTGTACGTGCAGATTTTTCGGCTATAGTACATGGGACTCACGTCGCTCTTAGGAATTTGTAACACGCATTGTAGATCAAATGTACAACAAACAAAATTATTCTCCTTCAAAGACCTTTCCTTATCTCTCACTTTTGCTGCGTTACAGTCTTCTTTCCTTGCTACGTGATTCTGATATTTGTTTTCCAGTTCTGTCGATTTCTCTGAAACGTGAGATTTGTAAGACATACAAATTTGACATTGATCTTTTTTTGGTTTGAAAAAAGAATAGTTGTAATTTTGACAAAATATTCTCCGGTATGTTATAAGTGATACTGGCTTGCAGGCATCTTTTATGCAAATTTCTTTATAAAGAGAATGCATTTTGGCAATAGTTAACTTGCAATCTAAGTATTGTCGTTTAGTACTTTTCCTGGAGTAATGCAACTCTAATACTGGAAAACTTTCAATGTGCCTTTTAACGTTTTCTATATCTTTAGATTTTGTTTTATTGTGTGGTTCTCTCTTGCCTCTTTGATCGCCCCCAGTATATAACCCTCCGGTTCCTTTTTTATTAAAAGCATGTTCCACTACTTCCTTACTAATGCAGAGTGTTTTTATAAAAAAATTACATACCCTGACTTTTCTTTCGGCATTAGGAGAAAGAAAGTAAGCTTTGGAATTAACCCGAAGGTTCTTTTTTCCTTCAGTTTTTTGTCTACGTCTCTCGGGGACGCGACACTCAACATTGTTCAAGATAAAATCTTTTCTGCGTGTGAAATCACAAGCCCAATAGATGGCACAAATTGCAGTTCGATTTTCTGCCACAATTTTTTCTGTGCATTTAAAGCGGCATCTGGAGCAATCTATGTCTTTTGGCCTTTTCATTTCAATTTTTTGACGCTTTACTTTTTCTCTTTTCCAATTACTTCGATTAGAACTTCCCCATCTCATTCTTTTTTTAGTTTCAATCTCCGATTCATTCGCTGTGGGCACATCATCTTCATAATGGTCTAAAGGAAATAAACAGAACTGTGTTTATAAATTTTAGCTTGTAATTTAAATGAAATCATTTTATTTAATTTTGCTTTTAATTTGAGTACATTTTATATTTAATTTTTGTTTTGTATTAGAAAAAAAAATCTAACTCTGAATGTTTTGCAAATTTAGAATGTATCCTGAAATTTTTAATGTTTTGTCCTACTAAAGACAGTTGGAAACCGCATTATTAATCCATCTTGATCTTACCTATATCAGAAGATTCTTGCTCAAGCACATAATCTTTATCTCGTACAGAACAGTCGGAATCCTCTTCATCTCTCACATAACTTTCAGGTTCCTCCATGTAACTTATTTCTATTTCCTCAGAAGTAACTGATGATTCTTTTGTGAAATCAGGTTTCTGGTTAAAAACAGTTAGCTCAGAATAAACTTGCTCGACAGGCTGCTTGTCACTAACTTTTTCAGTAGCGCTGGATTCAACATATTTTTATTGAAACCAAAAAGTTATGTTACAATTTAGAAAGTCGGATTCAGTTAGAAACAAAACTTACCCGCAAGTAGTTCTTTTAGGTTTGCCATTTTTACTAACAAAACACCACGTTATAATTATATCATAATTGAAGTCTTCTTATAATGCACAACTCAATAAAACTACTCAAAAAAACCTACACAACACTCTGGCACAGTAAACCCAACAACCAGTAGGAAAACTCTCTTAAAATGGGTGACTGTTTTCAGTACTTAATTTCCATTTTGCGGCATAAATTAATCATGACATTTATACAACTGTCAAAACAAGTCAAGTGCCACTTGACACGATTATTAAACGATCGGTTTTAACATTTCGAAAAAACGTGTACAGCCAAAACAAGTTATGTGGCACTTGGCTTATTTTGAATGTCAAAACCGTGAAAAAAAGCAGTGCAATTATAATGTTTCCACAGTTGATGTAAAAATACAACGGTACATCTTGTTTTATAAATTATTTGACAGTATCTAACGATTTTAAAAACAGCAGCCAACTTATATAATTCAATGTCATAATCATAACAATAAATAATTTTAACACCCCTTTTCAATTTAAATGTACAAACTAAAACATTTGAATTGTTAAACTAACATATCAATGACTTAACAAACTTGAACGAAATCTTATAAATTTTTTCTTTAACAAGAGGCTTCGTAAACATATCTGATATATTTTCATTTGAAGGAATGTATTGCAAAATTATTACCTTTTTTAGATACAAATCTTTGATGAAATGATACTTTATATCAATATGTTTCGAACGCTTTGAGTTTTCAAAATTTTTAACTAAAGAAATGGCACTTAAATTATCAATTTTTAAGGTCACTGATTCACAGATTTTGAATTCACTTAAAACACCTTTAATGTTTATCAGTTCCTGAGCAGCAATACCAGCAGAAATATATTCTGCTTCCATTGAAGATTGTTTTCTGGAATGCCATCCAATCGGGTTTCCACCATGTAAACATACAAAACCACTAATACTTTTTCTGCTTTCTCTATCCCCAGCCCAATCGGCATCGCATAAGCCAATTAGCTCCTGCATATTCCCCTTTTTAAACTGTAGTCCATAATCTTTAGTTGCATTCAAATATCGCAAAATCCTTTTTCCAGCCTCCCATGTACTTTTTCTTGGTTTGTCCAAAAATCTACTCAAGTAAGCAACACTAAATGCAATATCTGGTCTACTGACTAAAGAGAGATACATAAGACTGCATATCAATCTTCTATATGGAACGTTGTCCAAAATTGGTTCCTCTTCATTGACTTGGAAGTTCACTTCCATAGGTGTTGCCACAACTTTTGTGTCTTGCATTGAAAATTCTTTAAGTAATCTTGAAATCATCTTGTTTTGGATAATTTTTAGACCTGACTCATTTTTGATCATTTCCATGCCAAGAAAAATGTTTACTTCTTTCATCATTTTTATATTAAATTCTTTATGTAGATTTCTTAGCAATTCTTGAACTTGATGTTCTGGTCCTGTTATGAGTCCATCATCCACATATAATACCAAATAAACATCATTTTTGGTATATAAACAATAGTCGTAGTCTGAACGTTTGAAATTAAGTTGAGTCATAACTTGGTTAAACTTAATATTCCAACATTTAGGTGCATTTTTCTCAATCCATATAATGCACGATTTAGTTTTAAATACTTCGAATCTATTTTTAAGCCTTCTGGTGTCTTTATAAAGACATCAGTGTCTAACATTCCATTTAAAAATGCAGTTGGACCGGCAATTTGGTACAATTTCCAATCTTTTTGCACTGAAAATGATAACAACACACGAATTGTTGACAATCTGCATACTGGAGCATAGAAAAACTCTTCATTATTTAAAGGCACTTGAAAGCCTTTTGCGACTAATCGAGCTTTCTTTGTTCCGTCCTCCTTAACTTTAAAAATCCATCTCGTGTCAATGGCATGACAATCTAAGGGTAGATTTGCAGGATGCCAAGCTTCTAGTTTTTCATGAGATTTCAATTCATTATCAATCGCTAGTTGCCATTCTGGAATTTTACTCGCTTCTTTATAAGTTTTTGGTTCTTGATCTGGTTCTCCGCTTAACAAGCAGTAAGCTATGTAAGTATCATAATCGTTAAGATGTACAGGTAGTTTCACAACCCTTCCGGATCTAGTTTTGGTTTGTTGTTTCTAGTTATTTGGTGTTTTGGGTAATAAATAACTCAGATTTCTGAATATCTATTTAATATATTCTTGATGTAAAAATACAACGGTACATCTTGTTTTATAAACTATTTGACAGTATCTAACGATTTTAAAAACAGCAGCTAACTTATATAATTCAATGTCATAATCATAACAATAAATAATTCTAACAAAATGCACTTAACTTGTTCTCGTTGTGTCTATTTACTAAAAATAAAGTTATACTATTTTTTGCGCTCGATATTGACCGGTTATGCTGGTAGTTGAATTTTCTTGTTTTTGCAAAACATACTACACACAATTATCAATTTAAAAATATACTTAACTCAAAACATGCAAAAATGGAGTTATCTGGTTTTTGCAGTAACCCGACGATATAGAAAATATAGAAACATAAAACAAAATCGAATAATATCTGGTCATTGCCCAGAACAAAGCATGCTTAAAACAAATGATGATAAGAGTTTTTTTTAACAAAAAATCAATTTTCACAAAGTTCACAAATAAAGTTTTTTATCTTTGGAGACACTCCAGCACATTCCCTATGTGCCCAATTCTTACATTTTACACAACAAATCCATGACTCTCTGGATCGCGAATTTATGAATACATCGTTGCAATAAAGCCACATCATCATCATCAATTTCGGTTTGCGTCTTACTAAAAACTTTCTTTCTGCATTGACGAACATTTTCTCTCCTTTCTTTCTGTCTTTTCTTTTCTTCTTTCTCCTTGAGTTCCTCCAAATTGGGAGTAGTTGTTAGGACTCCAGTAATTGTTTGCCTAATCTTTCTTTTTTTAATTCCGCTTGTTGAAGGCAATGGAAAGATGTCTTGCAGAACAAATCTTTTTTTGAAAGGTGGGTCTTCTCTATTGCGGTTTCCCTTATTAGTTCTTACGCTTTCTTCGAAGGAATTTTCATCTGGTTCGGGTTGCACCGCTTGTTCCATGTCCTCATTTGCCTTTATTTCATTGCTGACTGACTGATCTGGTTGATTAAATGTTTCTCCTTTTGTACCGATTGGCTCCAAACTCGGCTCCAGTAATCTGTCTGTAGTCTCCACCGGCTCAAAAAACTCGTCTGGAAAAATATGAGGGTTGAATGGGCAAATGCCTGTTTTTAAAAATCCGCTTGTAGCGTTTCTTATTGTTGCTGCCTTTCCATAAGCAGAAGTAAATAGTTCTCCAATTTGATTTTGTGTGATACTCGTCCTGGATGGTTTTTCAACCAGAGAGTACATTTCTGATTGTAAAAAGTCTTTAAAGGACCAAAGAAGCTGACGTCGAGAGGTTGAATACGATGCGTGCAATACGCAGTGAAACACATCATGATAATTCCATTGTTTTTTGCAAAAGTCACTGCCTTCAATGATTTATGACTAGAGTGTCCATCCAGAAGTAATAGAACTTTTGATTCGGGAGATGCCTTTACAAAACTCTGAAAATGCTTTAACCACAAAACGAAAGTATCCGAAGTCATCCATCGTGTTTTGTGAAATAAACCCAAGGACCCTGGAGGTAAAGCATCTAGAAGTTCCTCCTTCCTATTTTTCCGAGGGAAGATAAGAGCTGGCGGCACAAAATTACCTATGGCATTCATACAACAAACACATGTTACGTGCTGACCTCTTTCAGCGCTAGTTAGCGATCCAACCTGTTTTCTTCCGGTTTTCGCAAAAATTTTTGGAGGCCTCTGCACGGTTGACAGACCACTTTCATCCATATTATAAATGCTATTTACATTAACCTTCTCTTTTTCCAGCGTCATTTCCAAGGTATCAAACATTTTTTGTATTTGTGGCCTGTTGAACGCCATTGCTCTGGCAGCAGATACAGCTTCTGGCTGTCTTAAAGATATCTCAGGATGTCGCATCCGAAATCCTCTAAGCCATTCTCGCCCAGCGCTGTGATCTTTGAATTTGTTTGGAATTTCATTTTTAGTTGCAAATTCATATGCGAGTTCCTTAATTTCTTTTGTAGTTATCCCAAACAATCTAGACTCTAATAGTAAGATATGGTTGACGAAATCTCTTTCTTCTTCTTCACTAAATGTGGTGGAAAATCATCCCAGAATCTTTGAACAGCCTTTGGCTCTTTTATTTACATCATTGGCTCTTCGTCTTAATGTTGCCTGAGGGACATTGAAGAGTTTGGCAGCTTTCAACCATCCCATTCGTCCACTTTTTACAGCCTCAATAGCATTCCGCATTCGATCTTCACTTCACGATTGCCTGGGTGTGGTCCTTTCACGTTTACCCACCATTATTATACTATAAAAAAAATAAAACAGGATGTTATTTTAGAATTGATTTGAGATACATATGTGTTTGTAAAACGACATAGTATGTCATTTTAAAACGACATAGTATGTCATTTTACCTTCATACATGGTGTGTCGTTTTACCCGCCATGACGCACAGTCTTTTGTCATTACCTGATTTTTTTATCTGTTGTTTATTCACAATTGTGTTTATGGGTCAGCAGTCAACAGTTCCAGTTACATGTAGCACTAATTTTATTTCAGAAATAGTACAAAAATCCACAATAAAAACGCACTCGCAACACAGCACATTAAATATTTCTTTTTCAGTGAAAATGTTTTTTGAGGTTAACGGTTGCCTATCTTACCGGCAAACCAAATCGCGTACAAACATGGAGTTCGGTTACCTTCGGCTCGAGAAAATACTGCCTTTCCGGTAGATGGCATCAGTGATTTCATAATAAATAACACTATGTCATTTTATATGCTATGCCATTTTAGGACGTCTTCCCCTACAAATGGAGGACGGTTAGGTTTCCCTTTCTTCCACCGTCTCCGAAATTATAATACTTATCAATTACAAAACTTTTAATAGTACTATTTAACTATAGAATAAACATGTACAGCGTAAGTTAAACAAAATTGAGTTTTTTAGAAAATTAAATATAAAGAGAAAGTACCTATACAATACTAAATATAAAGAAATTACAGATTTAGGAGAATAAATTGTATCAACAAAAGGAAAATTATTAAACAATTAGCATTTAAAATAAACAAGGACCTATTGTAGATTTAAATAAAAACTTTTATTAAAAATTAAAAAGCTCGTTTCACCCAATTTAATGTTCGAAAGAACCCTGTTCAATAGTTTCGACGCGACAAACTCAAATGACCCCTCGATTTAATACAGTTGTGATTTGGAATATTAAACGAGGTAGTTCTAGTATTTATCTCATGTATGTCAGATCGGCGTGTTAACAGACGGTATAAGTACAGAAGATTTTTATTTTTTAACAATTTAGAAAGAAATATTGTTGTTAAATAGCATATTCTGTTTTCCACCCTTAATACGTTTAATTCTACTATATATGGGGAAATATCAGGGGCGTAGCTACCGCGGTATCAGCCGTATCAATGATACGGGGCCCCCGGCTAGGGGGGCCCCCGATTGGTTTCGACATGCGTAAGCAAAAAACATATTACCCACATGTTAAAAAAATTGAGGCATGAAATTAAATAAATAAATCATATTAATATAATAATATATTATTATAATAAATATATTTAATTGTTTATACTTCGATTTATTAAATTTAAATTTTCCTGAATACCCTTCTGTTCCAACGAGGCCGTGAACTCATACGAATTGTTTCTGCCCGCACCTTTCCGCTATGCGTTTTCTGCGGCACAGTCTGCGCATATTGTTCTGTGCTCTGCGCCGCATACTAATAGCAAATTAGAAATAATTATTAGCATTACAATTATTTCAAATGACTCTCCATTATTTTAAAATAGAAACCTTTTAAAAGATGTTGAAGAACGGTAAATGTCTAAAACCAGACCAAATTTTTAAATTTGCCTGTACATAAAAAGCAAATGCAAAAAACATATTACCCACATGTTAAAAAAATTGAGGCATGCAATTAAATAAATAAGTAATATTAATATAATAATATATTATTATAATAAATATATTTAGTTGTTTATACTTCGATTTATTAAATTTAAATTTTCCTGAATACCCTTCTGTTCCAACGAGGCCGTGAACTCATACGAATTGTTTCTGCCCGCACCTTTCCGCTATGCGTTTTCTGCGGCGCAGTCTGCGCATATTGTTCTGTGCTCTGCGCCGCATACTAATAGCAAATTAGAAATAATTATTAGCATTACAATTATTTCAAATGACTTTCCATTATTTTAAAATAGAAACCTTTTAAAAGATGTTGAAGAACGGTAAATGTCTAAAACCAGACCAAATTTTTAAATTTGCCTGTACATAAAAAGCAAATGCAAAAAACTTATTACCCACATGTTAAAAAAATTGAGGTATGGAATTAAATAAATAAATAATATTAATACAATAATATATTATTATAATAAATATATTTAATTGTTTATAGTTCGATTTATTAAATTTAAATTTTCCTGAATACCCTTCTGTTCCAACGAGGCCGTGAACTCATACGAATTGTTTCTGCCCGCACCTTTCCGCTATGCGTTTTCTGCGGCGCTGTCTGCGCATATTGTTCTGTGCTCTGCGCCGCATACTAATAGCAAATTAGAAATAATTATTAGCATTACAATTATTTCAAATGACTTTCCATTATTTTAAAATAGAAACCTTTTAAAAGATGTTGAAGAACGGTAAATGTCTAAAACCAGACCAAATTTTTAAATTTTCCTGTACATAAAAAGCAAATGCAAAAAAATGAAACCCTAAAAAAAATATACGGGTGCATTGGTGTTCTACAGCGTATGTTTCCGGGTCGTTTAATTTCAAGGTTTAGCGACAAGGCTTGGCCCGCACGATCGCCTGACTTAACGATTTCAGATTTATTTCTGTGGGGATTCCTTAGGTCAAAACTATACTCTACCCGTCCGCAAACAATTCTTGAGCTAAAAGAGGGGATTCGGGAAGAGATTGATTCCGTAAACGAAGATCTACTCGCTTTCAGAAACCGATTGCAGCAATGCATAGAAGAAGACGGTGGTCATCCTAGGGATGTGATCTTTGCAAGTTGAAAAAATTATTATTCACTTTCAGAATTGCAATCTTATTAGAGTTTAACTTTATTTAGTCCAAATATATTCTTTGTTTCCTGTACAGCAGAATTGAAGTTGAGGTTCCTATTTCAAATTAAAATAAATCATTAGTAAACTTTAATATTATGTTAGGTAAGTTAAGAATTTTTAATAAAATATAAAAATGACCCTGTGATATTTCTAAGCTAAAAATAAAGTTTATTGAAATAAGGGAGATTTTAATAAAAATATAAATTATAATGGTTCATTACCTTGGATGTAGTGTGGCCTTTATTTGACAATACAATTCATTATAATTAAAACTAATAAAATTTTAATTTCTCACAGCGACAATATTTTCGCATTGTTGCTTAGAAAATAAATCTTTTCATTGACAAGGCAAGGCGAATGTAAAGTGACCTTTCTGTGTGAAAAGTGATAGGTCTGTGTGAAAAGAAATTGACAGCATCGTTTGACATTTGTATTTTATTTGTATATTTATGTATAAATATCATTTAGAACACAATGTATTGTGTTTGTATAATAAATTCTCATTTTTTTGCCTTTATTTAAACTGAGAAGGTAAGTTTATTGATTTTAAGTAACTTATCCTTAAAAATAAAAGAATATCTTATTCTTAATTTAAAGTAATTTTAACAGCTGTCAAATACGTTTTTAGGTTATTTTGTTTTGTATTTGAAAATAATAAAAAATAAAAGGGTGGTAGAAAAAACATTGTGTTTCACTTGTGAGAAAAGCTTTCTTCAAGCTCGTGTTAATGCACACTCGGCCTAACGGCCTCATGAGCAACTTAAACACTCGCATGAAAAAGTCACTTTTCAACACTTGTAAAACAAATAACTATTATCACCTTGTTTACACGTAGCTATGGATTTTGACACTTTTCTTGATTTGACATTTGTTGACATTTAAATACTGTTTTGTTAAATGATTAAAATAATGAATTATAAACTCTAAAAGATCGATGGGTTGGTGTAAACGATAATGAAATTAATAAGTAAGTAAGTTTAAATAAATAAGGTTTATTAAAGTCTTTTTATATTTTAAAGCTCATTTTAATTTCAAATGTCAAACTGACAATTCGTTAAATCCTAAAATTCATTATATTTTCTCACTAAATATAACTCGTGGTATGATTGAATTGAAACCGAAGCAGCACATTTCACTCGTCCTGCGGACTCGTGAAATTTGCAGCTCGGTTTCATTCGAAAATATCATCGATGATAATCATCAGCCATTCCACGCTACTCGGGAATTTTTGTAGCGTCCGTTACAATCAAAAATTGTGATTAAAAGCTTCCGTAATTAAATTAAATACTAATAATGCAAACATGTTTATTATGCTTGTAATAAGTAGGCTTAAACTTATAAGCATAATAATTACGGTAGTTTTACTCACAATTTTTTATTGTAACGGACGCTACAAAAATTCCCGAGTAGCGTGGAATGGCTGTCATTATGACATACCACTTGTTATATTATAGGGGAATATAATTTCCAATTTCTTTAAATTCTAAATATAACTCTGATTGCAATTGTAATAGATTGCCAGAGATTTTAAAACGAAATGCGCGATTTATCGTTTAGAAACGGTAAATTAGTTCATAAAAAACATACCTTATTGAAAAAGTTTATAAAAAACAAATTGTAACTATTGAAATTGTTTTAAAAATAATTCAATTAAAGTAAAGTCTTGCTACATGATTAAATTTATTTTACATTGTAAGCTTGGTTGCCTACTTTCAAAGAGATAACGATAATTTTAACCGAAAGCGACAGATTTAGAATGATTAGACTGTGCTCGAATCGAAAACTTTTTTTCTAACAAAAATGGCTTCTGGGTGGTTAATGTATTTGGGGCATGCTAAATTAAGTGGTAAAATTCGTTGTTCTAAGTTAGGTCATTTTTTCGAGATATTTAAATTTAAAGATTTGGCATAAGAGTACATAAAATTGCTATGGGTGGAATTCGATCAGGTATCCATTTTTCTTTTAAATATACACTGTATAAGACTTTTTTATTATTTTTCGATTTTTTTTTAATAAATAACAATTTTTTCCCACCTTAAAACGGTTTTTATTTATTTATATTTATTTAAACTGTTTAAAATATCTGTGTAAAAAGTAATTTTAAAATGGTGTCAAAATCCAACACCAAGTGGTGTTAACACCATGAATTATGGTTGAAAATGTGTACCGATCGCGGCAAAGGCGGTGTGAATCACGTGATGTTCTTAAATCTTGCCTGTTGACTTACATGAATCACGTGATGTTCTTAAATCTCGCCTGTTGACTTACATGAAGAATATATAAACTCAGGTAGTCCTTTGCTTTGGTGTAACACTACAAGTTGTTTGATACTAAAGAGACCTTAAATAGGTGGAAACAGCTGTCAATACTTGAAGTATTTTAAGTTAGTGGAACGCACTAAAAACATTATCTCTAGCGAGTTGAAGGTTCCATTTTCTGGAATAATACCACTGGTAATATACTAGTAATGCGACAAGGAACTTTCTGTTTCCTTTTTTTTCCTTTTTTTCTGTGTGGTACGATTTAGTTTGACCACAAACACATAATATTTAACACTGAAAAGGAGTTCAATTTACACCAGGTAAAATTTATTTTAATATT